CAACGCTGGCAGGCCATGCTCAGCCGCTACATCCTCGGACGCAAGACGGTGCCGACGGACCGATATCGTCCCCTGCTGCCCACCACACTCCACTATGACCACAAACTGGGCCTCGGTCTCCCTCACGTCGCGTCTAGGATTCGATCCCAACGGCTGCAGCTCCTTCAGTGCGCTATGACCCAGTCGACTGCCGACCGTCCTCTGTGGCAACCACTGGTTCTCCGGTAGTTTGAGCGGAGCATGGGCCAACTCTACAGTGTCTTCAAAACGCAGTGGTGGTGTCCCGGCCCCTCGCATCATGTCTTGGCATGCGTCGGTCGTCGATGCACTTGGGCGCCTCGTTGTCAACCTTGTGTCGGTGGACTCGTTGTTGGGTGTCGTGCCTGGTGTGACGGTCACTGGGGCTTGACGCGGGTTCGGTTTCGTAGGCGTCTCTTGTTCCATGGCGGCGTCCTCGCGACTCAGTTGGATGTTGTCGTCTTCGTCGTGGTCGCGAGGTGCGTTCATGAAGGTATCTTCTTGGAACGTGACATCGACTGAGAAAGCGCACTTCGAATCTTCGAGGTCGTGCAACTTGTATGCTTTCTGAGTTGTGCTGTACCCTAGGAAGACGCACTTGTTGGCTCGGCTGTGAAGCTTGTTGGACTCCTTGTTCCGACGGAAGCAGACGCAAACAAAGACGCGTAGGTGCTTGATCGTCGGGATCTGGCCGTGGATGAGTTCGTGTGGAGTTTTACCGTGGGTGTTGACGTTGGGTGTGTGGTGTCGAAAATACGTAGCCGTGGCGACTGCTTCTGCCCACCATATGTCGGGTAGACGGCTCTGGATTAGTAAGGTCCAAGCCATTGTGACGATGGTGCGATTGGTCCGCTCCGCCTTGCCGTTCTGCCATTGGTAGTCGGCGTTACTGGTCTCGTGCTTGATGCCTTGGGCTGCCAGGTGCTTCGTCATTGCTTTGAATTCTCCGCCACCATCGCCCCGTAACACCGTTATGGATACGCCGGTGGTACGTTGGAACTCTTTCTCGAACCTCTTGAATGCTTCTAGTGTCTCATCCTTGGACTTCAGGAAGTCGATGGTGACGTGCCCACTCGCGTCGTCGGTGAAGGCCACGAAGTATCGTTTGCCGTTTGATGTTGGCTCCCGTGTCGGCCCCCACAGATCGGAGTGGATGCATTGACTGACCGTCCAGGTGCGTGTGCCCATCTTCGGGGGTGATACGTGAATCATCTTCCCTCGCGTACAGTCGTCGCATTTTTGAGGTTCCATCGCTTGCTTAGGGCCGTCCTTGGTGGCAGCAATGATCTCCTTCGTCGAGGCGATGGATGGGTGTCCAAGGCGTTGATGCCAGGTGGCGCCGTCTGTGGCGGGGCATGCGATGTCGTCGGGTACTGCTTGGATCTTGCCGGTGAGCTGGTACATTCGGCGGTTGTTCAACTTGGCCTCGACTGAGACACGTCGCCGACCTTGATCGAGGAGGTTTTGCTCTTGAACTGAACCGTCACTCTTTCCTTGGACGTCAAGGCGGGGACGGACACGAGTGTGTGACGAAGAGTGGGACGTAGAGTACATTTGTGAAGACGCACGTCTAGCCGTTTGGGTTCTTGATTCTGAACTTTCCCATCTTGTCCACGTCGATGCGTTGGTGATTAGCAAGGCGGACTCGACGCTGACACTCTTCAATGTCGAACAGTGTGTTGTAATAGCCTGTCATATGTGATGACGCGCCGCTATCGATGATGGTCATCTGTTCTTCTCCATCGTGATTGGTGTTTTCGTTTAAGTTCAGCATGTCTATCTTGACTTCACTTCCTATTTCTTCATCGCTGCCTCCTTCGTTTAGGAAGAAGATATCTTCTGCGGCGTTTTTGGCGTGATCTTGTCGGATGTTGTCCCTGGCGCGTTCGCCGCGACCCGCTCAACCCCCGCGCTGGTTTTGGTTCCGTCCGCCGCGTGGGAAGCCATTTGGAGGTGGGTTATGCTGTTGTCGACCGTCTTCGTTGATGTTCTTGCGGTAGATTCCGCGCTCCATGTCGCCTATCTTGCGGGGGCATTGACGTGCAACTTGACCTGGCTTCGTGCAGTAGAAGCTGGTATTTTCTGCGGTTGCCTGGAACGTCACGTCGTTGGTCCGAGGTGCTTGGCCGACTGTCGCTCGGAAGAGTTGGAGTTCGTGGTCGGCTCGCAGCTCGGTAATCACTCCAGATAGGGTCTTGTACTTGGGCTGGGTTGAGTGGTTGCGGTTGATGTGCAGCACTGTGTTGTGGAATTGCTCGGGCATCAGTACCAAGAGTTTCGTGGCATAGGCGGACTCAGGGATCCAATCACCGGCAGCTTCGAGCTTGCGGACAAGCTCGCAGTACTTATCCGTGAAGTCATCAATAGCTATGTCGCTTGTCCAGCACAGGTTGCTTATCTCCGTCATCAGTGTGAGTAGGTTAGTTGCGGAGGCTCCTTCGTGGATGTCCTTGAGTGCCTGCCAGATATCGTATGTCGTCTGCGTCTTGCTGAAGTACTCGAGTTGGTCCTTGTGGATAGTCAGTTTGATGTACGACCGTGCCACTAGGTCTTCTTCCTCGGCGAAGCCGTGGGCGTACGTGGAGCGGTCTGACTCCAAGGGATCCTTGAGGTATTTGCCCAGACGTTTTTGATTGAGTTTCTCAGTCACCGAGTTCGACCACTCGCGGTAGTTGGAGCCGCTGGAGTTGAGATGCGTGATGCTTTCGTTTGGGCTCATAACCTATTAGCTACAGACACAGGCTAGTGTCTAATCGTGCAATTGAGAACTGATTTATTACATGTTAATCCTCTATGAAGCTTCTACTATTCTGTTGTTCTAAACATCTATAAAATCTTGGACGGGTGATCGCGGCTCTTCGGTGTCGACCGTTACGTGTATGATGGGCATTTGACCACTGTGGTGGTTACTAGTTAGTGTCACTACTTTGCATGGCATATCCACAACAAGTAGTACTACAGTAAACTGTACTACAGTACGAAGTACAGTACTACTAATAAATACTACTACCTCCGTACGAGTAGTAGTACGTAGTACTACAGTGTACAGTAACGTTCGTTACACTGGATTCTTGATTTGTGCACCCTGGTATAAACCAATTACCCATCATAGGTAATATAATATTCACTTCGAAGGGAAATTATTTAGAGAATTGATGAAGGTTGAATGGCAGAATAGCAAAAGGTCTGTGGTGACTGTGATGCACTCCACCACTTACTTGCCTTGTCAGTACAGACTAACGATTGACAGCTTGAATGGTTATATGAGATAAAGATATCTATGAGAAAAAGATATCCCACTTGCGAGTATAAGGCGTTGATGGTGGGCAAGGACGCCTTGTTGGCATCGTGGCGCATGAGTTTAAACGTGAGTGAACAGGTCGTTGTCGACGGAAAACGGCTTCGGGTGGAAAGTGATGGCCTTGACCGTCTCAAAGCTGTGGAGTCCCGCGGCTTTGCACACGCGCACAATGCACAGTAAGTTACAAGTACTAGTACTATGTACAGTTCTAGTAGTACTAGTAGTACTGCACATAAGACGACGTTTGCGTTTGTCTCGATCGCCACGGACGCCACCCAACGGTCCAAGTACTTGAGCACGATTCTGCGTGTGCCGTGGAAGTACCAGCACATGAGCCGCGTCTAGCAGCAGGCCATGTCGGCGCTGTGTCAGTTTGAATGTGGCCTCGTCAGTGGCACCACCTACATGCCCAATCACAAGTAAATCTAAAGCATCCCTCTTTACAGTTAATGATATCATGGTGTTCCTACCTCGTCATGATGACACAACTCCACGATAGCGTGTAATACTCTACGACTTGGCTACATACTGTAACGTTAACTTGACCACAGTGTCCACTTCCGGTACGACGATGTCCACCAGCACCGCATGCAAACTGTCGCCGTACATGGCATTGGTTGCGTGCGGCTCAGTAATATTGAGTGCAAAAATCGAGGATCCACTATGTACAGTATAGTACATAATACTACCTCTGTCCGAAAATAGTTACCCCAAACTGAAAAACTGAGATCCGAGAAAAGTTGCCTCAAGTGTACTACTGTAAGAAATGCCTCTAATCTGACCATTGGAATACGCCCAACATACATTACAACAATAGATCGATACCCAAAAGCAGCGCCAGATCCAAGTCAATGTCATCCTCCAGCTCACCATCAACAGAGAGTTTCTCCATTTGCGAGCTGAATTCGCTCAAGTCCATCGCCTGTGCCACTTCAAGTGCCAATTCGTCGATCTTATTGTCGAAATCAGTAGCACTGAGTAGTCGACACCCGTCATCAAACAGGTCACGATCAACGCAAACAACCTCGGGCAACATACCCACAGCATCCAGTTTCGCCTTCTTCATATGCGGGATTTTGTAACAGTTGTCGCCTTCCACGCGCATTATCTCTTGCATGCAGCATTGCAACGTGAGAAAGTTGGCGTTCAAAGTAATCATGTCGACATCCTGCCACGCTTCATCGGTTGCAGTAATGATGTCGTCAATGTTGCGCGAATAGTTCCGTTCTTGAAGAGTCTGCAACGCTCGAAAGAACCCCAGGTCCAACACGTTGAGATCCGGCGAGTTGGGTGCCTGGAACCTCACTTGCATGGCCCACCCGCCGCCGGTGCACGCAGCAACGATGCGAGGGTTAGATAGGGGAACGTGAAGCTTGCCGTTGTCCTGCTGAATGATCACTCCCTTGGTCTCGCCTTGGGGCCATTTCGCTTTGACAGCAGGGATGACATTGTCGAGGAGCATGGTCCTGTACACCTCGCGAGTCACGCTGACCGGCTTTGTCACCATGGTTCCAGCCGGTCTATTGCGGCTTCCACGCAACGCCGGAACTCGCTCCATAAAATGCCATGTGCCGATATTGCCGTCGAACCACTCATCATTGTCGTGGTCCCAACGTGGTCGGGCAACAGTGGACAGAAACATGACTTTCGTGATGAACGTTTTGGACTTGACTGTGCGATGAGGAGGGGCTTCGTCGGGTACAAGATAACTCGCGTGGCGAAGAACCACTTTTCGTCGACATGGACACAGTCCATCATGCTGTCCAAGGTATAGTCGGTGGGTCCCACCGGGTGAACATGGTCGATTGCCCACTTGAGTTGAACGGCCTTGTTGGAATCCGTCAGTGCCGGCTTGACCGAACTAGAATATTCCACGAAAATTCCTCGCCGATAGTAGTCATGCAGGATCGACTTGGGCATGGACATGGCGGCAGCGATGGACCGAAATGTTGTCCGCCGAGCCTTGGGCACGAGTTTGAGACGGGCAGCAGCAGAGTCGTGCTTGAGGTTCCTGCTAGAACGACCTTTTTTCCTTGAGCAAACAGACTGGTACGGGTGAAGCTTGTCGGACAGGTCGACTGCAGCTCGGTGCCAGATTCGGCAAATCGTGCTTCGGTTCAACACCAAAGGAGACGGCGACATCTGCTAAGGCACCTCGTGGCAATGTCTTGTGATCAACCATCCGCGCTAGAAGCTGCTGCAGGATTGCAGTTCGATCGTTGTCCGTGAGGTCCTTCTTGGCGCGCATTTGGATTGCAAACCTTGACACGCTCGTTGATACGATATGCGTTTGTTTTATCCGGTAAAACCGGACATCCGGATACCACCGTTTTGAGACAAATTGTCCAAGTTGTATAGGTTGAAGTATTGGGGCTCTGTGTGGCGGAATCTGTTGTGATTGGGTGTAGTTTGGTACGAAGCGATGCTATTGGTGTGCTCTAGAGGCTACTATTGATGCATCTGTTTTCAGAATGGAATAATTCGACCAACTTCACGTTCATTTCTCAAATATTCCGTTTGGGGTAACTATTTTCGGACAGAGGTAGTAGTAGTAGCTTGCACGGTTTACTAAGTCAAATCTCATCCTATACAGTGTCTGTATTATACTGCTGAAGTGTCCCACTTGCTCACTTGCGGTGAAGTTGAGAGAAATTGAAAGTCGACTTATCTTACCGATGTACTACTACCAGTAACTTAGTACAAAACTGTAGTTAAACAACACCCACGTGATTTTAAGTTTTAGTCGAGTGGACAACCTCCAACGCAGAGAAGACTGCAAACATAATCGAAATCGTTGACTTGATCGCCCGAAATCTCTATCCCAACGCCGAGGAGACTGCGAAAACCCCAGCAACTGTTGTGGTCATATTTCTTGTCATCTCCGTGATGACGAGAGGTGGTTGGTTACGAACTCCGTTGATATTAGTAAATTCCCAGCAGTACTGTATGAAGTATACCAATGACCGTTCGATAATTTATTGCGTCAATACCAGGGCAAGAATTGATGGTTTACGTCTGTACTAGTACTGCAGTACTGTACTCGTATACTAGTATACCAGTTCATCGATTGTCGCATGAATATATGAGACATATGTAAGGGGAAATGCTTTGGGTTAATTGAGTTTGGATTATCATTTTTAAGACATTCCTCCGCGAGGGCTCGATACTAGAACCACATGTTATGGATCCATACCTCGTGCTTCGACCGATCTTCTTCGAAATTCGGCCCTCGTCTTCGTACGCAGCCCTTGTTATCCGGATTCCCCAGGGGACGGACGGATAAATCCTTGCGGAAATTATCCGGGGAAGCGGAACCCATGACCTTTGAGTTAAGAAACTGATGCTGAGCAATTTTCCCTCCCCTTGGGAAACGCTTCGGGGTTTTAGCCGAGGCTTAGAACAGTTCAAGCATATATTCTTCCTGTAACCCTGCAACTCTCTTACTGTAACCCCGCTTGCGAAGTTTACTGCTAAATCCCTGGGGTAGGAGTGGAGGTAGTCAGAGTACAAAAAATATGTCTAATCTAACTAGAGTTTATTAGTTGTTTCAACGGTTCTAAATCTTGGCTGAAGGGTTATATGAACGTTTTTCGGGGTTACATAGTCAACAATGACATCTGAATACAGACTGTATCGCAAGCCTATGTAGTGGACCTAAACAAGCCTACCAAGATCATTACACCCATCTGTCTGAGAATTCCTTGCAAATCCCTACCGCATCATCACGAACCCTTTCCAGGGCGTTTTGGCAGTCCACAATCCCTTTCCTCATTATTCATTTTGCCATGAAGTTCTCCCTCCTCAGTGCCATTGCCCTATTTGCGTCGGCGACCACCGCCGAAACTAACAACACCTTCACGGGCATCGACGGCCGCGCTCGAACGTTGAAGGAGGAGGCTGCCCTCCAAGACGATGCCAAAATCAACCGCGCTTGCCACCAGGAAAATGCCAACTACATTCCGTCCCTTAAAGCCGGAGAGTACTCGACTAGTGCGTTCCACAACTGCTTCCGCACTATCGACCAAATCTACGAGTTCACCGATGCCTTGGTCGTCCAAAACCCGACGTTGCTGAGCAAATTTGTCATATCCAAGACGTTCAAGGGGGCCACGATTTACGGGTACAAGCTGACCAAGGGCCACTCTCAGTCGCTGTACTTTTAAGCCCTACAACACTCCCGCGAATGGATCTCGGGGTCGTCGATTCTGTTTTCGTTCGCGTTGATTCTGGATGATATTGCCAAGAATAGACCCACGGCCACCGACGAGTACGACTTGTACTTTGTACCGGTCGTCAACATTGACGGCTATAAGGTCTCGTGGGAGGAGCACTATCGGGCCCAGCGCAAGAGTTACAACCTAGTCGACTTGAACCGGAACTGGCCGACTTCCTTCGAACACCCCAACCCCCCCGCCATCTCGGCCGCCGATTACCCCGGTCCGTCTACTTTCAGTGAGCCTGAAACCGAGGGTATCAATGAATGGCTCCTATCCAAACGCAGTGAAATCCAAGGGTTCATTGACATTCACTCATACGGGGGGTACATCTTGTACCCATATGGGGACACCAAGGAGCCCATCGGCGGGGGGTTTGACGAGAAGTTCGAAGTCCTCGGTCGTGGATTGCAAAGCGCCATGGGGGCGTACACCCCTGGACCTGTGGCCAAAACATTTTACTTCGCGTATGGAGTGTTCTCAGATTACGCGTTCCGCGAGTTCAAAAAGCCCTCTGTGACATTTGAAGTGGTGGGCAATGATTTTGCTGCGGAAGCGTCGACGATCCCGACACGCGGCCTCGAAGTGTACAAAGGCATCAACCAGTTTGCTAAAGAGACCACCATATTCAACGGTGAACCGATCACGGAGCTAGTGCCTGCTACGACTGCCGCCCCCGACGGCTGCAACACATGCGATTGGTGTTACATCCCTGGGTTGAACTCGTGCTTCAGTGAATTCACCAAGAACGAATGTGTCATCCAGAACGCCGAATACGGAGCTTTATGGTGTGTGGAGATCAGGACCAAGAAATAATACTACATCCATTTGAAATATGGGTGAATATTACAACTTTTCGGACACCGTTGCGCGCTCCGCAGTGTAGCGGAGGTCGTGTGTATAATTTTGTGCAGGCGGTGCCTTGGCGAGGAGTGAACCCCAATCGTGCACTTCACCGAATGTCCAATCGATTCCTCTTGTCGGGAAAAGCGGCAGGTAGGCCGCAGGCCGTACCGCTACCCGGACAAGGCCTGTGGTAGTACTAACTACTATTCGCATTTAATGCGTAAATCCAGTTAAGTGCATGTCCGAATCTCATCCTATACAGTGTCTGTATTATACTGCTGAAGTGTCCCACTTGCTCACTTGCGGTGAAGTTGAGAGAAATTGAAAGTCGACTTATCTTACCGATGTACTACTACCAGTAACTTAGTACAAAACTGTAGTTAAACAACACCCACGTGATTTTAAGTTTTAGTCGAGTGGACAACCTCCAACGCAGAGAAGACTGCAAACATAATCGAAATCGTTGACTTGATCGCCCGAAATCTCTATCCCAACGCCGAGGAGACTGCGAAAACCCCAGCAACTGTTGTGGTCATATTTCTTGTCATCTCCGTGATGACGAGAGGTGGTTGGTTACGAACTCCGTTGATATTAGTAAATTCCCAGCAGTACTGTAT